CGCGACGTCGGCAAATGATCGGAAACGCTGTCCGGCCGATGTTAGGACGACGCAACCGGAAATGCCGGCCGCTCCGCGGAGGCGCTGTTCTCAGGCGTTTTGCTCCATACTTATGGACCACTAGCTGCAGCAGCTGCTTATTTATAATAAACACGACACACCACTCTCAATAACAGTTGAAGATTTATTAATATTTTTCACAAACATACAAATAGATTAACATACTTTTATCACACATAACCATGTTTTACTACGTTTAAAACAAAACCAACAAGTTGTACTATAACCATGGCTGAAATACTGTGCAATAAAGATTTTAAATGCAAAGTCCATTGCAGCATTTACATTAAGACCATAGGAATATTTACAAGTACTTCAAAACATGTACACTAAGGGTGACTATAGTTTACTATAGTAAAAACACAAATCACTTGTGTAAGCACATGTTATAATGCTTATAATTTCTTAAATAGTGTTAAAGAAAATGCATGTTTCCAAGACTATAATTTTAAAATACAAGATAATACCAGTCATGTGTTCAGTATCCAAAAGACTTTCTTCAGGGAGTTACAATAAAAAAAGAGTACACAAACACAAAATAAATACCAAGCAAACAATATTTACAGTAGTAAATAAAATCATACAAATTAAAATAATTGTCTGATAAAATTTTATTAAAGTCTGTAGTCAATTTTTTTTACATTTTTTTTTATAAATGGCATTCAACAATTTGCAATCTCCTCTGAACTAATAACACACCAATAATATAAAATAATACTTTCTCAGAGTTAACCAGTTTTTTTAAGCAAACTCTAATGCACGACACAAAACAGATTTTGTCATTCTATATATATATATATATATATATATATATATATATATATATATATATATATATATATATATATATATATATATATATAAAATCCCTTAATTTCTGTTTAGCGGAAATATTTTTTAACACATTTCTAATCACAATAGTTTTAATAACTCATTTCTAATAACCGAGTAAATAATATTTGACTAGATATTTTCTAGACACTTCTATACAGCTTAAAGAGACATTTAAAGGCTTAATAAGGTTAATTAGCTTAACTAGACAGGTTAGGGTAATTAGGCAAGTTATTGTATATCGATGGTTTGTTCTGTAGACAGTCGAAAAAAATTGCTTAAAGGGGCTAATAATATTGACCTTAAAATGTTTTTTAAAAAATTCAAAACTGTTTTTATTCTAGCCGAAATAAAAGAAATAAGACTTTCTCCAGAAGAAAACATAACATTTTCTTGCTCTGACCTATATTTATATGAATAAAACTGGTTGTAAATTGTGTACAATGTTCCAAGAAAACAGACAAAATTAAAAGAAATAACCTGTCATTTACTTTTGTTTTATCTTGTGGAATGTTGCTTACACATAAAAGGGGATATATAGGTGGAATAAAAAGTGTGTCGCCATCCTCTAAATTGTTCTTGTATGTTGTCTTCATCTTTAGTCTTCACAAGTGAGGCTGGCCCAAACCGGGACTGCAGTAGCCAAATCTAATCCTTGTAGTGGGAACCCTTAAATAAAGCAAGAAACCAAAAGGAGAAAGATTAGCATTTGGGCAGTTCATATTACCACAAATACAAATTATTTGTTTCATGACATATAACTGGAGTATGTGTTATGCAAGTGACTAGCTAAAATGTGTAATTTAATTTAAACTTAAAGAGTGTGTCTGAGCACTTATTTTCAGAAAAGCCATTTGAAAGTTAAATTCCTTGTGAAATCATAATGAATGTTTTTTTTTGGTTTTTAGTATCATTGTGTTAGTATAAATGTGTCTCTAAATATATGTCAAATCTTCAGATACCACATTACATGCAAATTAAACTAAGTTTCGTCAACTAAAATGTCACACTGTACACCACATTTAATTTATCATAGCTAGGGCCAGGAGGAATCTGCAGATGTTTTTTGCTATTTCTGCTGAAAATGTTGGTGGAAGTCTGCGGATTTCTGCGGAATTATTTTGGGAGTATCATAACTAAAACCTTAATATATGAAATAAAAAATAATATGTTTTAAAGTTTTATTTAATGTTTAAAATGCAAATCCAATTAGATTCATTTTATTTGGTAAATAAAGGTTTTTCAGCAAACGACTTCTATTATATGTAGGCTATAGAGGAGGAAATTAAAATATATGAAGAAATTATAAATTCAACTCTCTAATTAAATGCACCTGATGCCGCTAATCAAGTCTTTTAGGCTTATTTGAAAACTTAAATGACGTGTTGGACCACAGTTGAACAACGCTCAGTGAGAATACTTTTTTGCACAAATTCTTTTTGTTCTAAAGAAACATGTCTGATTGTTAGCAATCATCAAAGAGCCAACTTTTTTTTTCAAATAAATACTATGCTCTTAAAAATAAACTTTTCATACATCAAGAATACTAAAAATATGTTTATTTAAAATGTTTTATATTTTTAAAAAAAACAGCTTGAGGAGAGAATCAGTACATTGGAATACTATTTTATCAGAAGGATCATGTGACACTATTAATTATATACATTGTATTAAATTCAAAGTATTACTGCTTGACTGTATTAATTAAATAAAGGTGACACTATCAGAAGAGAATTTACCATACCAACCTAAAAGCTTTAAACAGTAGTGTATGTTTAAGATGTTACTTACTAGTCCTATTGTACTTTGGAGAGGTTGTCTGACAGGAGGATCCCTTCAACTCAGCAGAATTCTCAGCAATCCATCAGCGTACACCAATCTAAGAATAAAATAAGCAATTTGTTAAAAACCAAAAATATATATTTTATATTTCCAGGTTTATAGGAAAGAAGAAAGCTAAAGCAGATTTAAAATGTAGAAAAAAATAAAACCTATTGACAATTTAATGACACAACATACCCTAAACTAAGCACACTCAAATGGTTAATTTTAACTGTTAAGGATTCATTCATTCATTGTCTTTTGGGCTTAGTCCCTTTATTAATCTGGGGTCACCACAGCGGAATGAAAGGCCAACTTAGCCAGCCTATGTTTTACGCAGCGGATGCCCTTCCAGCAGCAACCAATACACACTCATTCACACACACTTATACACTATGGTCAATTTTAGCATACCCAATTCACCTATGTCTTTGGACTTGGGAAAACCGGAGCACCCGGAGGAAACCCACGCCAACACGGGGAGAGCATGCAAACTTCACACAGAAACGCCAACTGACCCAGCCGAAGCTTGAAGCAGCAACCTTCTTGCTGTGAGGCAAACGTGCTACCCTCTGCGCCACCGTGCTGCCCTGTTAAGGAATCAGATTAATATAAATGAATTGACATGTTTATTTAGTGTCTGACACATTAAATATTGCATTTTTAAATATTGTTTCATTATAAGATTTATTTCAGAATTAACTATAGAACCTGGATATATCGTCACATTTTCATGCACAGCAGCATTTCCAAGAACATAGAAAAACAGAATATAGGCCAACTGAAAAAAAAAAAAATTAAAAAATTCTGAGGGTATAATCTTGGATAAAAATATCACAGTTTCACAGTATTGTGATTACTGCTCTGAAATGTGTTTTTTTTTTATCTCTGTGTAAAAAACAGCTACTTTTTCCCCATTGAACACAATATGTTTTGTTTTAAGAAACATTTAAAATATTTTGTAACAGTAAACGTGCCAGGCTAAACAATAATTTAATAAAATAGTACTATCTTCATTAGACTCAAAAACACTGATTTCTTGTGAAGGCATAATAAGCTATTTGTTTTTCAGATGTTTGCTGAATCGTGAGCTGACCAGTAGCTTTTGATGTGGATGGTCTTTTGCTGCTGTAAATAATGTTGGACTATTTTTTTAAGTCTTTGATAACGCGCTAAAAACCATATACAATGCATCCGGAAAGTATTGATACTTTACTTTTTCCACATTTTTAATGTTTCAGTCTTATTTCAAAATGGATTAAATTCATTAATTTCCTCAAAATTCTACACACAATCCCCATAATGTGTGTTGACCCGATTTTAGTTAATCATTTACAAGTCAATATTGCCTATATGGATTGTAATTTAAAAAAAAATTAACATGTAAAATTGCAGTGTTAATTGCAATGCCATCAAACATTTTAGACGCACCAGTGCAAAAAGCTAGTCTAGAGCACTTGGAATGCTGGTGTAGTTCTAGTTAAATTCAGTTTAGTTAAAGCTGTATATGCAACAGGTCTCAAGTAGAGGATATAGTATTTAACTAATCTTAACAACTAAACATTTACGAGTCTGTATTAGCCAGCTCATGTACTACAATGTAACAGATACTGTATATTGCCACCTTGATACTTAAGCTTTCTTTAAAATATTTTGTGTTCAACCGATTAATTAATTCTTTCATTTAATTTTTTCAGTGTAATAGTATAGCTTACACTGGTGTATTTGTATGGACCCCCCAAAATAGCGGAGGCCACTTTCTGGCCACCCAAGTATAAACTTCTAGCCTAGCCACTGTGAACTACCTGTCTGTCCTGCTCCAGAACTCTTTGTCGGCTGCTTGTATGTCTGGATACAGCTGCACAAGTCTTTTAACACTGACAAATACAGCCTCTGCACATCCTCACAACCAGGAGAACAGAATGATCAGGAGGACCTGAAAAATATAACCAACTGAAATCAGTTGAAATGTATTTTGTCTTGTGATGATGGCACAAAAATAAATTATTTTTCACAAAGGATGTGCTGTTACCTATGAAACATTCTATAATGAATGATCTTTTTGATCCTGTTTCCTTTATGTCATTCACATAGTACACTTCAAAAAGTATGGTATTTTTACAACAATGAAACTGCAAACAACGTAACTATAAGGGGGTAAGCAGTGAGCATCTTTTATTATAAGCAATTTACTGAATACTTTGTCACTGGTATTACCTAAAAACCAAACGTCCCAAGTTTGGCTCATAGCTGTCCACACATCTGCCCAGTAGCTTGTGGTAATACTGAAGACACTGATCAGCTGGTCCAACTGAGTTTGGAGTTGAACTGCAATCAGGCATCCAATACTGCAAAAAAAAGAGAAACTCACTTTGGGTTAACAAATAATGTAATCCCACACATTTCAAGTAATTGTGCAGTTAATTCTCTTAAAATGAAAGAATGAATTCTCTTATTGAATTTTCTGAGAGCTTATGAATATATTTTGCCTTCCCAAAATAGCATGTACTGAAACACAAAATTATATAAATATAATTTAATAAGAGCGTGACGTGGTGGCACAATAGGTAGTGCTGTCGCCTTACAGCAAGGATGCTGACTCGAGCCGCAGCTGGATCTGCAGGCATTTCTGTGTGTAGTTTGCAAATTCTCTCTGCGTTTGCGTGGGTTTTCTCTGGGTGCTCCGGTTTTGCCTACAAGTCCAAAGACATGGGGTACAGGTGAATTGGGTAGGCTAAATTGTCTGTAGTGTATAAGTGAGAATAAGCGTATATGGTTGTTTCCTAGTGATGGCTTGCAGCTGGAAGGGCATCCACTGCGTAAAACATATGCTGGATAAGTTGACAGTTCATTCCGCTGTGGTTACCCCAGATTAATAAAGGGACTAAGCAGAAAAGAAAATGAATGAATGAATGAATTTAATAAGAGTTAAACTGATCTGTTAACATGTCTGTCAGGAGCTGATCTACCTGTTGTCAAACTGATGAAAATGTTTTCTCAATTTACTTTAACATTTTTGTGTTTGTTTATGTTTTTATAACTTGCAGCCATTGTTAAATTTAAAAGTATTTTAAACATGCATGGACATCTAAATGCATATAGGGCACATATCTCAAAACATTATGAAATATTTACAGATAAATCAATTTTGAATTAAAATGTATATTAATCTCCAGACTTGCATCTCCCTGATCTTTTTAAAAGAACGGCCCCTCGTTTGCTCATCACTGTTTGACAAGTGTCTGGCAGTCAGTCAAAAATATACTTACATATAAAGATGTTCATCAGCAACACGGCACTTAGGTTAAACTTAGACCTCCTTTTCAGTTGATGTGGAAAACAAAAGCAAAAGAAAGAAAAAACAAAACGACTGAATACAAGTTGCATATCATGCCTGTACAAATCAAAATTTATTCATTTAGGGCTTAAATTGACTTGTTTGAGGATGAGTTAAGGTGTAAGGGATGGGTGAACAGTGTAAATATACATGTAATTCATAGCTATGATGTAAAGCTAAATTTTCAGCATCATTACTCAAGTCTTCAGTGTCACTTGATCTTTCAGAAATCTTTTTTTAAGATGTTGATTTAGTGCTTGAGGTTAAACTAATATAATGGTGATTATCAAATGGTGCTGATTTGCTGCTCAAGAAACATTTCGGATTGCTATCAATGCTAAAAACAGATGTGATGACAAATAATTTAGTGTAAACTTTTTTCTAAGATTTAATAAATCAATTAATCATAAAAAATTAAACAAAATGAAAATCACAAATATTACTTCATTAGCAGCAAATCTATATATTTACTAAGTTCTGAAGAATCATGTGATGTGAAATTTAATACCACTCACATGTTTCAATGTCAAAACTTTCTTAAAATAACTGCAATAAAGACAAGTAACAGATGCATAATATATAGACATGTAACATGTGCATAATAATGTGCAATGGAAATTCATATGAATTAATCCTCTGCTTAAAGTTACCTGTCTTTCCTGCATCTCTGTGATCAGCTCCCTTCAGAAATTTAGGAATCTTGTGTTATATTTTCTGTAGCAGGAGGTTATTCTCTCACTCCTGAAACCACAGAACACTTTTTTTACTTAACATTTAGTTTAAGATACCATGAAATATCAAAACACGATTGAACTTTTGATTCACGGTCCTTTACAGTAACGTTACAATGCGTATTTTAGACTACATATGGAGTGCATTCAATAAAACATTGACAAAACCTCTCATCTACACATAAAGAATAAATAAAAGCCAAAACTTTAACAAACAAGTTTAACAAGAGCTAACATTAAGTAAGTTAACGTAATATTACCCCGACGCTAACGTTACCAGTGCTAATATGCTAACGGACTTTTACGAAGACTTACCACTCTTATATAACATAATATTCAACTGAATATTCATCAATTGCCAATAATAAATGTGTGAGGAACAGTTTTATGTAGTATTTGCTTTGTTTTAGGGACTAAACTTACCTGAAAACAGTCAAAACGGCAGCTTGAGAGAAGTCGTGTTGTGTCTTTCAGGTGGTGTCGTGTCGTGTTGTAGCTTTGTTTCCCATAGCAACATCCCCTCCGCTCCAGTGTTGGAAGCAAGACGCGCGCGCGCGCACATTAAAGTCTTGAAGTATTGCATTTATAAACATGATCACTCCATAGACAATTTAAATAATAACCTTGTATTTTAAATCTTGAATTTAAAATGTATTTAGCAGTTTTATATACGCTATTATCTTTAAGACGAGCTTTATAGCCTACTAAACTGTTACAACACTTTATTTGTGCATTCACTGTCAAAAATAAATAACCAATATATATAAATGCAAGTATATATAAAACAAAGATGTCACTCTGTAAAAAGGTGTTTATTTTAATTAAACAGCCGAAATGCAGAACATACTTGATTTTTACACTGGGAAAAATGTATTAGAAAAAGCCACAATAAAAAAAGCAAACAGCAGTTAACACCAGAAAAAAACAACTTTTTCATTATTAAAGCATAACAATAAAACTTTTTATATTTTAATGAATTGAAATCATGTATTGTAGGCATTTTGGTCAGTTTTACTGCATTAATGTAGGCTATTTAAAGCTGGACCGACCGACGCAGTTCACATGATGCATGTCGCGTTTGTCTAATTTATTATGCACGCAAAAACTTACTTGTAAACCAAATATGTTGCCGGATACTTTCATGGGCATGAGAGATCAAGTGCTTATGAAGTGCTTCGTCGGCCTCTGGTCGTTAACCGACGCAGAGCCGACGTTTGTTGAGCTGGAACAATAGAACACACGACCGAACGATCATGCGTATGTTTGGCCGACCATATACCGATGTTAGAATTAAAGGGGCCGACGTGTTGACCTTCGGCCGACGTCGGCCCAACGTATGTGTGCTGTCTGGGAATGTTGATATTTTCTATAGTAAATGTAACAACAAGGTTATTTACAAAGAATTTAAACACGCCTTATCATGGGTGATTTTAAGTGATATCATCTAGGAGTTGTTTAACCCTTAGTAGAGGACAAAGCTTTTACCTTTTATCCTAAATATCCTGTAGCACCTAAGGTTGAGGAAACTCATTACAGAATTGTATTCAGGATATATCCTGTGAATGAGTTTATTCAAAAAAGATTTAACTTTGATGTTGACAAGTGTAGATCTGCTCAAATCTTCCAGAAACACTCGATCACTCTTTTTTTTTTTATTGTGAATTTACTTTTAAATTCTGGTTTGACATCCATACTTGGCTTTCATTAAAGATGATTTCAGTCCCCCTATTGTTCTAGAAGACATTTTATTTTACAAATGGGATTTACGTTTTTCTTTCTCTGATGTTGTGAACTTTATTTTACTAATGGGTAAATATCATATTCATTGTTGTCAGTGGAAAAAGTGCAGTACCTCCTTCAGATGTTTTCTTTCTGAGGTAGAGAAAGTGGCTCACAGCTTCAAATACTTCAGAAATCACAGTAAAATAACTGAAGCTCTCTGAACTTCATATTTATTGTTTTTTTCATTTAACAATGTTTTGTTTTTCCTTTGATGTAGATCTTTTGTACAGCTCCTTGTTGCAGTTGTAACAATTTTAATTTATTTTATTTATTTTAATAGTAAATATGCCTTGCGATGTTGATTGTTCCCTGTGTTGTGATGTAAACGTTTCGCAACAATAAACACTTAGTGGATTAAACAAGTTTTTAAAAATTGTGTAAAAATGTTTGGATTAAAAGTTTTGATCAACTGCCAATACTGAATGTCTGTGTATGTGAAAGAGATAGCAGATATGTTGAGTGAGGTGGAAAACGAGGGAGAAATTTATCATGTCCCCAATGCAACAGTGAGTGGCAAAAAAAAGCTGAACAAAAAAGACTTTTATTTTGGCGTGATGTGTGACGTCACAAGGCTGCGCCGCTTCCGCGCTGCAGTTCAACCAGAGGAAGGTTTGTTTCACAACTTTACACAAATATAAACCGATTGATTAAAGTTTTAGGTTTTTCTTCTGATATTATATACCTGCTGTTGACTATTATTTTAATCCTTTATACAACGAAGTACTATTTTAATCACAGTAAACGAGGGCAATTGTTTGAACAGAAATGTGTGTAATAAGTGTTTTAAGGAAGGTTTAATTTTTTTAAAATAGCATAATGTCATTCCAGTATAAGTATACATTGTCGAATATATTTAAAAAAATATAGTTTTTATCAGGTCATTTGTGGCTTTTGTTTCTTGTTTAGACTTACCTGATTTATTTTTGTTAATCACTCTCATATAAACAAACTGTTGAAGCAAGTGTTGAAAAGATAGAGGTAAAGTTGGTTTTATAGTCGCACATTCTGACTTTCCCTTTGATAATATAGTTTTATAAAAGTATTATTTGCAAACTCTAAACAGTGAAATCATATTAGCAGCCAATGACTATCAAAGTACAACATTGTTCACAGTCAAATAAACAGTGTTAATGTTGTTTTCAAGTCACACTTGCATGCTAATTCTGATCATAGAGGTAAAGTTGATTTTATATTCGCACATTCGTTCATTTAGAAGTCTCTATGTTGTTTATAATGTTACTTTGAATATTCGATCTGAATTAGCATGCAAATATGACTTGAAAATAACATTAACACTGTTTATTTGACTGTGAACAATGTTGTACTTTGATAGTCATTTGCTGCTAATATTATTTCGCTATTTAGAGTTTGCAAATAATACTTTTCTGAAATTATATTATTAAGGGGAAAGTCAGAATGTGTGAATATTAAACCAACTTTACTTTTATATTGTTTCTTGCTCAGAATTACCCGATTCATTTTTTTTAATGACTATATAAGAAGTTATTTTGTTTCTGTTCATTGTTTTATTATTTTAAACGGGACATTTTGTATTGTTTTGTCCATTTTAAACAGGATAAAGTGTCCAAACGCAGAGAAAAACTCCTGCTGAAGCGACTGATCTCCACACTGTTATAAAGATGGCGTTTATTAAAGAGGAGAGTGAAGATGTGAAGATTGAAGAAACATTCACAGTCAAACAGGAAGATCTGCAGGAACAAACAGGTTGGTTTTCATACCGATATATTTTTAATATTAAGAATGCTAAATAAAATCCATATTGCAGCCCTTGTAATATGATTTCGCTATTTAGAGTTTGCAAATAATACTGTTATGAAATTATATTATTAAGGGGAAAGTCTGAATGTGCGAATATAAAACCAACTTTACCTCTATGCCCTGAGTGTGCTGATAGAGGTAAAGTTGGTTTTATATTTGGGTATTCAGACATTCCCCTTAATAATATAATTTCATAAAAGTATTATTTGCAAACTCTAAATAGCGAAATCATATTAGTAGCCAATGACTATCATAGTACAACATTGTTCACAGTCAAATAAACTGTTAATGTTGTTTTCAAGTCATACTTGAATGCTAATTGTAATTGAATATTCAAAGTAACATGGTAAACAATACAGACTTCTAAATGAATGAATGTGTGAATATAAAACCAACTTTACCTGTATAATGTGCTGCCTAGTTCTCCTAATCCACATAAGCTCTCATTGAAAGACAGGAATGAGTTTCTTTCTTGTTACTTGTTCTAATTTATTTTGTCATTATTTTCTGTATTATTAGTCTCCAATTTTCACTACCTTCTTAAGGATATTGATTCTGTTCTTCTCCTACTGTTTGTAGAGTCCTTGAGCACTGGCGCTATATAAAATAAATAATAACAATCAATTTAAAAAGTTTAACTGAGCTGACGATATTTGACCTACAGT